ACAAATATCTCAGGATTATGCTACTGTAAAAATGGCCTCTTCAATAAACTTTTTTATATTAAATATCTTCAAATTAATAAGAGTATAAAATTAGTTTTTATATTGAATTACTCAATAAAATCATATCACTAAGATGAAATATTTTTTAATGATCATATACTTTACTAAACCAAATTTTTCAAATTGATTTCATGCCTGAAATTAAATTTTTTTTATTACCTCATTTTTAAGATTATTAAAATTTTCTAAATTAAACACTATCTACAGATATGTATTGAATCATTTCTTATGATAGTGATATTAATCACTGTCAGATATCACCTATACTTGTCTCAACTATCCCACGTTCATACTGTGCCGCAACTCTACTGTACTATCGTTTTTTATGACGTTGCTATTCACAAATATACAGCATTTATTGTTTATATTGACTTTATCAATAGATATGCTTAAAGTATAGTAGTAAGGATCATCCTTGAAGTTTATAAATACACCAGCTGGCAATACAGAAAGCATATTTATGCACTCAAAAATTTGAAACTTTAAAGTTTTATATCTAATAAACGAATAAAGTTATGTTAAGAATTCAAATACCATTTACTATTAAAATAAAACCTATAGCATTTTATTAAACTCAAAATATGTATTCCCGTTTAAAAAGACAAAGTTAACACCCCACAAAGCATAAGGGATGAACTTAAAAAGTATTATTTAGCTGTACTCTGTATAGATAGCTCAATAAGACCTGGATTTTTATGCAAATACATAATTTGTATTAATCCAATTAAAATTATTTTGATTAAAAATGATAGTATTTAGTAATTTATAGATTTTTAATATAAATGTGTATAAATATTGAATATATTTCCATATTTCAGTAAAAATGACCATAAATAGAATATTTTTATATTATTACATATAAGTTATATTAAGATATATATTAAATATTTTTTTTTGATTTCGCGTTTAGTTACAAACTTTCTTTTTTCTCCCTCCCTTTTATCCCAACTACTTGGGGTCAGCTACCCGATTTTAAGTCTCCATTTAACACGATCTCCTACATCATCTATACATACATCAGCAATCCTTATGTCACCCACAACTATATCCAACTACCTTTTTTCCTCTTCCTCTTCGCCTTTATATTCCCTTTTGTTAAATTCGTACTCCATATTCCTTACATCCACTAATGCTTTATTTTTTTCCTTACATAAAGGCTAATCTCCATATCTCAAACCTCATGTTAACTTCCTTGTATTATCTTCTTTTAACACTAAATCATCAACAAACATACCTGTTCTTGTATTTCTTTAGTAATTTTTTCCAAAACTATGGAAAATAGAGAAGGGCATAAAATAGAACCTTAATACACACCTAATGTTACCCAGAAATTTTCTACTTCTCCACACACTGTTTACCCTAGTACAAGTACTTTTATACATATCCTCTATTATATCAATATACATTTTTGGGACTCCTTTTCTCATTAACGCTTATTTTAAAATCTTTCTCGGCACTCTATCATACACCTTCTCTAAATCAATGAACATCATACAAAGCTTTTCTTCTTTCTATACTATTCTATCAGCTGTCTCACAAAAAATAACTGCTCCAACATTAACATTACGTTACAATATTAAAAAAAAAATTCTAGATTCATTTTCTCAGCGATTTTTTACATGTATATATTAATTAAATAACTAAACAATTTTAAAACCTTTACAATTTTCTTTTCGAAATCATTTTTTGGCAGCACCATAATATGGTTGAGTTTGGGTTTTATTATTTTTTTATATTCATCAACTTCTTGGCATTTATATCAACTATATGGGATTAGTTATACCATAATTTTAATAAAAATTATTTTACCCATAACCATTTTTGATTTCAAATTCAACCAGAAAGTGATATTTAAATAATTTTTTATAAGCTGGATTAAAATTTTTACCGTTTTAATCATTTATAACAACTCAGCAACCTCAAAATACATCTTTTTCATCTTTGTCATTTGACGAAGTATCTATTATAAAACATTATATAAAGTTATGTTATATTGATCAATAATATTTTTTGATAACAATAATCACTAAAACGTACTCTTGTTGATTATCCAAACAACATGGTCGATGCTTCTTCAATTTCAAAATTGCATTTGCCTTTTAGCAATAAATAATATTTATTAATAAATAAAAAATTTAAATAAATAATGAAATAAAAAAATTAATAAACATATTATTTATACTTCGTTGTAAATTATTTTAGCATTTTCATGGCGAATTTTTCTTTTAAAACAATTTATCGAGAATATTTAACTTAAATGGAAATCTGATTTAAAAACTTTTTGGTTATTAATAACACATAATTTAATAATTTATTTATTTAATTTTTGTAGATAAAAGCTAAAAATAAATTTAAGAATCTTGATAAAAATTTTTATTGAAGTCTTTTGGAATAAGTTTTGATAAAGCAATTTTTTAGACAGCAATTTGATAAATAAATATGATTGAAATATAGTCTTACATCTAATTAAATTAGTCAATAATATTTTTATTGATCGTTTATATTTTTGTAAGTTTTTATTTTATAAGGTAACATAATTAAAAGTCTGCGAGAAGACATATTCTTAGTTATTTTAATTATCATATTATTAGTTACAATAATAATAATACTCGGAAAACAAACAAAATATAAAATTATTAAACTATGGTCATCTAAATAAAAGCTAGTAATTTTATTTACATGTTATAGAATTTATGAAGTATATTTTTAAGAGTAAATTTAGTTTGACTGTAATCTAAAATTTAATTATTGTATTGTAAACTGTTTTTAAATTTGTTTATTATTACAAAAAGTAAATAAAAGGGAACACTGTTCACACAATTTTCGCTTTAAAGTTAATAACTATTCAATAAGATTATAAACTACATAACATTTAACAAAAAGAAAAACAATTTTTAAGTCTATTTTGTCACAGTTATATACATATACATATATGTATTTAATGATTTTTAAAAATCTTACATAAAATTCAATTACTTAAAAGTATTGCACAAGTAAAATTAACTTTTTTTAATATTCTGGGCGTATTCATGAAAAGCTTACAATAAAATATAAAATTGAATTATTATTAGTATAATTTATTTATTTACACAAATATTATACTGAAATGTTAAAAAGTTATTGCCAAATTGGATTATATTTGTTATATACTTTATTTAATTATAATTGTTATGTGTTCAGATTATTTAGAGTTTAATATGAAAGTAAAATGTATAAGCTTTGTATTTAAAAACTACATTTAGATTTTGTCGTAGAAATGAATGAATTTAATTATTTTATTTAAGAATTATAAATAAAAACCAGTTAATATTTAACAAATATTAAATAGAATAATTTAAGAGGGATAGATTAATGTTGTTTTTTGTAAGTGTAACAATGTAACAATAATTAAGTCAGCTTCTGTTGCAAATAATACACATTTTTAAATATTTTTAACTTAAAATAAATATTTCTTCTTATTGTATTTAGTAAAAATTAAAACAAAAAAATATTCGTTTATAACAGTTATAATTATACAAATATTTCTATTACATGAAATCTTTTTTTTTTTCAAAAGAATAAATGTATTAGATAACAAATAATAAGAATAATAATCACAAAAATTAATATTAATAAGTAGTAACAAATTAGATTTGACAAGTTGAACAATCTATTATACTTATTCAGAATTTTGGTAACCTAAAATTATAAATATATTTAAAATTAAACACAGAAATAAACTTACAAAAATCTTGTAACTGAATTAAAGTAATTAAAGCAAACTTTACATTTGTTTAGGTATATTAGTTATCAATATAGTGTTTAATTTAAAATATGAATAGATAACTTAAAAAATCAACGTTTTACGAATATAATACACTTTTATCTTTAAAAATATATATAAATCCTTTAACTTAATGTATCGAATATAATAAGGCACATAAAATAATTTAAGAAAATGCAGTTCATATATCTTATCATTGACTTTATATTAAATTGTATTCAATAAAGTAATTTGTAAAATAACGTAATTAATGTTTCAACTGTAATTAACTCTTTTTTTCACTTAAATTCTTAGTTAGATTGAAAATAAAAAATTCAGTAGTATGTTAACTACTTAAAAATATTTATAGAAATGTTGAAAAAACAAAATATTCATGTTTAGAATTACATTTATATTTAATAATAAAAATTATGGAGTGGTATGTAGAATAATTGTATAACTTTTATCAAATATTTTATTAAATTTTTTCTCTTTTTTCTACAACTATTTATAATTATAATAATAATATTGATAATAATAAAATGCTTATTACATAATAATTTATCATAGTAACTTTAAAAAAGAACTTATTAATAAAATACTTAATTAATATAACACAATAAAATTCGAAAACCAGTCTTGCCATAACAATAACACAAATGGATAATAATATTTTAATAACAATAATGGAATGACTGTTATTGGAAATAACAAAGTAGGTCGAAGTATTTTTTATAAATTATAATATAATGTCTTTCTTTGCTAAACTAAACTATAATTTTGTATTAATAATTAAAAAAAATCAGTTATGAAATATGTGATCAATTATTATATAATAATACGCATTGATGATGTCACAAAAATAATAACTTTACAATAATTATTTAGGAATTTGTATACAAAAGTTTGAAGAAAAAAAAATAGAAATTGAGTATCATTAGTCAATTTCTATTTTTATATTATGTACAATATTTTTAACATGCTTATAATTAGTATTATAAAGTTAATACTTAGCTATTTTTTCTCGCAAAACTTGTTTAATATAGTATGTGAGTTTTTTATTTGTATTGAGAACAAAAAAAATTATAAACAAATTAGTCTTTATAATTAAGATTTATTTTAAGTGAAAAATATTTAAATACATAAAAAATAATTAAAAATAAATTTCAACAATGTTTCTTGTTTCAATTTTTTTTTGTATTCATAGTTATTTCTGCATTATTACATTTTGGCATATTAACAACAGTATTTAAATTAGAATTATCATATATTGTAGTTTTATTTTTAGTACATGCATTATTTAAATTTATTAGTTAATTAGCTTTTCATTATATCATATAATTATATAAGTTTAAAATACTACGCTTATCACGTTTGTATAACAATATTTCAATTAAATAATAGTAAAAATATTATTCGTTAGTTATAATTTTAAAGGTCAGATTCAACAACTATAAATTGTTTTACAACATTTTATTTACATGTGCCTAATGCACAACTTGTTGTTAAAATTAAAATAACGTAACATGTTTAACATTTATTATTACTTACAATTATTCTCAGTCAAACTAATCGTCCCATTTAGGAAAAGCGGACGGAGATACAAACATACTGCCATTATTTGACGCTGGTGGTGGAGGAGCTCCTAAATTAGTTGGCCTTTTCAGTTCAGAACTCTTCTCCTCAACAACTGATGGAGCAGCCGGCCGAGGGGGTGGTGCTTTTTGACTCTGTTGTTTGTTGTTATGTTGTGTAGATACTGGCGGATGTTTTGTTTTAAGTTCTATTCTTTCATCTTCATCTGTTGCAGGCTCTAACGTACTGTGTTTGATGCCATAATAAAAATATACAAAGAGCCCTAAAAAAATTAATGAATAACATGTTTAGCTCAAATATCAAAAAAATATAATTCAAATGTTTTAACAGTGAAAGTTACGATGAAAAAAATTAACGAATCATAATATTTGATAAAAAAAATTACCTATTGACACCCAAATGATGATTCTTAACAAAGTCATTGAACTTAATTGGAAAATTAAGTAAAGGTTGACAGCAATAGAAAATGCCGGTACAAATGGCACCCATGGTGTTTTAAAAACAAGTATTTGCCTATAAAAAGAAACATAAATATAAGTTAGATGTATTAACACAAATAGAAATATATTTGAAGATACTACAAATTGATTACTAAGAGTGCGATATTTACAGAACGACAATATAAAATACACATTGATTTAATGAAACAGTAAAACTTTCACTAAACTAAAAAATTATATCATGCTTAATCAAGTTTCAAATCTAAGTTTATTTTTAATTTCCTATAAATCCATGACAAACTTCAATATAAAAATTTCGTTATGGTTGAATATATGTTAATTAGTATTTTTACTTCATAATAATTTATAAAACTGAATGGAGTTTGAATTAAATCAATTTTAAAGAATTTACATAAATATTAAAGAAATAATAAAATATTTGAATGTCTTTATTTTAATAAATAAAAATTATTATAAAGTTCATAATATATTTTTATGCACAATGGCATTATTTTAACTACCGTAGTCATTTAATAGCTTTTTCTTATGAAGAGACAAATATTCGAGTTACTCTTAAAAAGATTTTAAGTAACTCTTGTTATGCACTTGATAATGATTTCTATACTTAAAAGTCAATTTGAAAGAACAAAAAAAAATATAGATATATTTTTACTTTGACTGTAAAAAATAATACTTCAAAAATATAAATATGTAGAATAAGCATTTTTATTTCCATGCAAACTAAAAATTAGTTCATTAAATTTTACTTCAAGAATTTATTATTAACTAATAGTAATTTACAAATTAAATTGATTTGTTATATAGATAATTTTAAAGGTAAAATTTCATTTTTATTTCTGAAAAATATGCTCATAAAATATCTGAAAATAAGTAACATAAATAAATTAGTAAAATATCCGTACTTGTTTTGTGGTTTTCGTGATATTGCACCAAGAACAATGATTATAGCAATAAGCAGCGTATACAAAATAATATAAGTGAACGTAGATGATTCTGGAGATATGACCACTAGCATTATATCAAAGACAATGATAAGTACATAGAATACTCCAACCATTTTGAGCACAATATATCCGCTCTCCTCAGTTGCAGGTCCCGTGTCTACCCATGGAAATATTGCTGGACACAAATAAGTAGCCGCCTATAAAATAAATATAATTTTTTAATTTGAGAAAACTTACTAAAATACAAAAAAGTTCATTATTAAATTTAAGTATTTTCAAATGAAGTTAATTGAGTCTAAAATTTTAGTTTCTTGTGGAATACTTTTACAAATTCATTGCATTGGACTATTTAATTAAAAATTAGTATACAAGATGGTATAGATTTGACTGATAATTCATATAACTTTTAATACAGTTAACAATTCATTGTAATTTTTTTTTTATAATTTATTTATTCTTACACAATATTTTTTATTATTTGTTATTTAATAATAATAAAAAACATTTTCTTTTCATTTGATATTTTTTCAAGATTTCAAAATAGCCAGTTTTAAGTACTTTTCTTACAAAAATGATTAGTAGGTGTATAACGATTTAAAAATGATCAAACATTGAGTTACAAGCTATATAATATATAGAGTGGATATGTAGCATAGATGGGTACAGATCGTACTGATTCTTATAAGTCAACATTTACTCGTCTTAAAATTGTTATCAGCCCATTAATCCTTTATATAAGAATGTGTTTAAAAATTTACTATTTTAAAATATTGAAAACTATTAAAATTAAAAAATAATTTTAACATAGATTAAGAATGCATAAATTATTAAAAACAAAAATACAACGAAATATTGATTGTGTCAAAAATTATAGTTGTCAGTTAGATCTATTCCACCCTATAAATAGCATATTGTTACCTTAATAGATCTAGTAATATTAGCGCTTGCTGCATTAAAGCTACCAGCAGCTGTTGTAGAACCAGCAGTTGAACCCCCGTGAACAGATCCGTAGAATTTACTTTCATATCTATCTGATACTAAATACTGGTCATCGCGTCCTTCTTCGGAGTCATCCCCATAATACGTATCATCTGAATCCGGAGAACTAAAATTGTTCATATACTTACAATTAAATTAATTGAAGGAATAGCGATAATAAAAATCGTAATCAAGTATTTAAAGTTAAAAATTAGTGTCACTGGTTATTACAAGAAATGACTAGCTAAAATAATCTAAAGCCTTTCTGAGTCTAACCTCCAAAAGTTATGAACTTAATTAGAATTTAAAAAACCAGTACCGTAGAGACCCAACATAGTGGACACCAGTATAGATTGAAATATAACAATGATTTACATCATACTTTCTTAATGCACTTATGAAATAGATTGATGAATTAAATTCATGTGTTATACTAATTCTTGAATTTTGAGACTTTTACACACAAAAAAAGTGTTTAGACTTTTTTTCTAGAACATTTTTTTTTTTTTAATTTCAATAAGAAGTACATTAAATATACTTTAACTTAGGCTTATTTAAAGATACCATGATTTTCGAAACATTTTTAAATACTAAAAAAAAAAAAGTGTAAAATATAAAATTTTCTATTTCGAATCTTCCCTCCTCTGAATAGGTAAAGGGTTAGTTTTTCAAAAAACAAAATATCTGAGGTATTTAAAATGAATATTTTGTTTTAATTTATACACTATTCAAAAAGTTATATTAACTTTATACTAAAAAAGATATAATGATTTTATAAAGTCTATAAAATTATTAGAGATTCCTACCATTAACAGAAGAATATTTTCAAATTTGGCAATTACAAGTTTTGTTGGGTTCAACTAGATAATTTGTGATCTTTTGACCTATCGTAACAAAATTAATTCACTAGATGATGAGTAGTGATCAGTATAGTAATAGTAGTCAAACTATTGTAATAATCTTTCGAAAATATTCTTTTTTACCTGTTTTTGTTATATTTTACGTTATTGTATAATGCAAAATATATTTATGGTAATTATATACAATTTTTTTTACTGGGAATTTTTCGATTACATCTACACTAAAGAATTTTTAGGAGAGTTATTATTTTTAGTTTTTGAACAACAAATGACCGCTATTTGCCATAAAAATTAAAAAAAGAAACATTAAAAAGCCTTAGTGTCATTTTTTGACAAAAATGTTTTTTAGATAATGTTTGATATTTTTACAATCACGCAATTATCAACCAAATAAATGTAGATCATTTTTCCATTACACATTTTCAAGTTTTATTTAATATTCTCGAAGAAATTATTTAGTTTTATTATTTTTAAGAATATATTCTACCTTAATAATTTCCAGAAGAATATTCTTAAGGATATTCTATTACAGATAATATTCTTTCATTACATCACTAGTAACGATCAATGGTATTAACATTCACAAAAAAAAAACCGTAGTAGATTTTATACTTTCTCCCCTTCACATTGAAGCTAAAATTTCTTTTTAAAACTCAAGTAAATATATAAAAGGAAGTATTTCTTCAAGAAATAACTAATAGGGTTTTGAACTTATATATTGAACTATAAAATAGTTACATCTGTTATTCAATGTATATAGTGTTCTTAGGTACAATCACAAGATAGAACCATAGTAGTAATGTTCCCCGTAAAATTCAAATTATTTTCTAAAGAAAGTTTCCTTTTTAAAAAATAACCCATTTTAACAGAAAAAATAAAATTGCGCCCCCCCAAAAAAATTATCCTAGATCTGCGCCCAAAAAGACGTGATAAATATGTTAACTGTGTCACATGTCATGATGATAGAGGTAATTTGAAATTTAATAGTGAGTTCAGATTACTATTTGTACTTATTTTTAACAAGAAAACGTGTAATTTTACATTAAGATAATGTACTCACTTAATTGCAAATAATTAAATTCTACTCTACTAATTATTTTTAGTTATTAAGCAAGATCATCAAAATTTAAATACGTACAATAATGAATTGTTTACCTTCTAGTTACTTTTCGAACCATTATCCTTTGGGACTGATGAGGTGGTATAATTTGTTGTGGTAACGGAAGTTGAGTTTGATAAAACGATGCCGGTACACCACCACTTGTAAACGCTTGGTTTGTGTACGAATATCTTTGATCATCTTGGTTTACCACCTAAAAAAAAAAAAATATATATATATAAACGTAGGAAAATATCAAATCGAATATTAGACAAATATTTACAAAGTTTACCCGTCCGTTGGTAACAATTTGTTTTGGTGCGGTCATGGGAGACCGAATAGTTTCAGGAAAAAAGTGAATTGCAGTAGATGTTTGAGGTTGATATCTTAGTATCAATACACATGTTGAAACAAGAGTGTATGCGAACAAGGTTCCTTGTATTATATAATTTTTTCTAATCAATATATATGAATATCAACAAATTATTTTTTATTTATTCTTACCTATAGACATCATTTCTATCAATGTGTCAAGATTGATGATCAAAGCAGCTACAGCCGAAGCTATTCCAGATATTACGGTAGCAACAAGGGGCGTACCAGTTAATGGAAAAATTTGACTAAGCGATCTAAAATAAAAATATTGGTCATAATAAATTTTTAAAACGCTCATATTATCTCCTTATATTAAAAAAAATTAAAATAAATAATTTTAAGATTCAAATCATTGGAAAACACTTGTAAAAATTGTTCTTAAAATTATTATTTAAATTGTAATTATTTTATTTGAATGATATATTACTACTTATACTTAAATTTTCTCAAAAGTAATGATATTATTTACAAAAGTAAATTAAAAAATAAATATACATATTTATTTTAAATTTCACCTACTTGAATAGCAATCCATCTTGGGCCATAGAATAGATTATTCTTGGCATAGGAAACATAGATCCAAACATGCTCACCAAAAGACCAGCCATAGCTCCAGCAGCTATGATTATCTGACATCGAGGTGCTCCAACTTGAACAAACATATCTAACAAAGCTGCATTTTCATCAATCTTGTTATATGGAACTAAATAATATTTTTGTTTTTTTAATTAAATCTAAACATTGTTTTATTTTTCTTATTTACGCTAATGTAAATGTATACTTTATTTATTATATCTAAATATAGGTAATTTAACTTTTATAGGTGTATTAATGTGCAGTAGTTAAAAAAAATATATTATAAACATATCTGTAAAAAAATATTAACTTCCAAGATCATGTAACATTTTAATAGACCATATGAATGAAAATTAAAGTGAATATTAATACATGGGTCAAAAGAGCAAATTCAAACAATAAAAAATGTACTATTATTTTTAACTACTGCAAAAATACTGCAATTATTTTCATATTTTTTCAAAAAGTCTTTAATTAAAATTTACCTTATTAATCTTAGTTTTTTCGATATTTTTCTTACTTTTACAATAAAATAATTTTTAATTAAAAAACAAGGTAAAATTATAAGAGCATAATGTTTGCATATTTAACAACTTATTAAAGTCATGACTATTATCCTTTAATTTTGAATACATTTTCTTTCAAGATTTTATAAATTAAAATAAAGCAACAACTTTGTATAGTTTTTTAAATTTACTGTCTAATTAAGTTTAATTTACATAAGTAAGTAAACAGCTAAGGAATGATATTTTATACTATTTTTTCTTGGTAAATTAATACAAATTTGTATTAATTAATAAAAAATAATTTAACATTTATGTTAGACCACTTATTTCTAGAGTTAATAGCCACACTTACCGATTAAAGTTAGTATAATCGATGAACTAACGTATGCTACTAGAATTATTATTAAACTAGCCATAATAGCCCAAGGAATAGATTTTTTTGGATTGTGGGCTTCCTCTCCAGTTGTAGCTATAATATCAAATCCTATGAAGGCGTAAAAACATGTTGCTGCTCCTTTAAATACCTAAGAAAAAATTATGTACTGATCAACATAATTTTCAGGATCACAATAAAGAGAGTTAAATATCTTTAAAATTTTTATTGTTTTCAAAATAAATGTTATTATGATATGAAAAATGTGTTTTATTTTAATGAGGCATATTGTAAATGACAAAAGAAACCACATAGTTAAAACTTATTTTTAATAAAAATCTATTATTTATAATAAATAAAACTTACACCTCCCCATCCGTATGGAAAAAACCCTTCGTTTTCAGTCCAGTTATTAATGTTTACGTAAAACAGACCAGCCGACATGAGAAATATCCACGCAGCTAAATTAATAGCATTCATCAAATGATTAAACATTAAGCTTTTTTTAACTCCTGCGGCTAAAAGGACCATCATAAGTAAGGTGATTCCAGCGGCTAATAGATCAGGTTTACCTGAAAACATAGTTATTGTTGAGACAATAATTCAATAAAAATGTTGATCAAGTCATGGTAAAATAAATATATATTATAATATATAGAACGTTAAAAGGATAAAATACTTGATATTTTTTACATTTGACATATTTATTTACAATATAACTTAGTTTTTGTTTTACCACCTAGTAAATGACACCAAAAACACTTGAATGTGTTACTAAAATAAACTATAAAAATGCCCGCAGTAATAAAAATCCTTTACGACCAATTTCATGAATTTTATTTCTCATTTAAATGGACATAAATGAAGTAATTCAATAACTACATTAGCCGTTTTCAAATTATCTTCTTTAATAATTTCAATTAAATTTCCTTTGTTTAATGTCTTTTACGTAAAATAAAAACATCTTAATAAATTATTTAATAGAAATGTAAATAAAAATCTGTAGCTTATACTTTTTTTTTTAAGATTATAATAGTTATAAATATTTCAATCTGTGCAATTTTACACAATCAGTAAATCAATTTATATATGGCAATGAAATGAAGAGCGATCATTTCACATTAGAGCGTCCTTAACAATGATAATAAAAAGAAAAAATAATTTCAACACCAAAAACATTTAATCATAGCTAAAGCATTGTTTAACAAGTAATTTTTTCTCATTGTGATAACAGGGATATATCATTTATGAGCAAGGCGACGAGTTAAATTTCCTGAATAGGTTTTTGAAGCCTTATTGAAAAATTATTAACTTATACTTAAAAGCTGAAATGGGTTACAAAAATGGTTTTTTAAGATTTTTATAATTTTTAATAAAAATAATGTTTTTTGTTATGTGATAAAAAATTAAAACACAAATGTATTACATTACAAATGTAAATACAAATGTATTGAGATGTTTTATTTTTTGAACTTCAAAATTGACAATTTGATAACGATACAATTACAACTTAAAATTTGTTTTGTTCTCTTGATAAATTACTAAAGTTGATATACTAGTTTTTAGAAAAATCTCATAAATATATAATATAATATATATTGACGTAAGTATTAAAGAACTTATTGCGTTATTTGTTATTTGAAAAGTTAAAATTCTTATTATTTTTAGTTTACCGATAAAGTTTGTGTAGACATGAATATAAATTATTTTTATCACGTAACAGTAAATAAATTTCTATTAATTATTAACATGCTAAATTTTATTGTTGAATTTAAGCTTAGTATTTTACATTTAAAAGTTTTTATAAAGTTATAAGAAAAAAAATTGTTAATTCTCATCTTCTTACCTAAAAAGCCAATCGTATTCTGAATGGATGCGCTGACAGATCCATTGGTCAACGAGTCCAAACTGGCACTTAGGGCACACGCACATGCTGAAGTTCCAATAAGGTACTCGAGGACCATATTCCAGCCGATGAGAAATGCTATAAATTCGCCTACTGTTACATAACTATACATATATGCTGAACCGGAAGTATGTGGAACTCGTACGCCAAATTCAGCATAACAAGCACCTTAAATTAATGATAAAAATATAAATTATTTCATTTAGTTGAAATAACTACTACCATTTATTATTTAAAAAAAATTTTTTCTCAATAAATAAGGATTTTAAAATATTTTGACTTCGATGCTTTTATAATAATCCACCAATTTTTTAAAATTAAACACTATATACAGATTTGCATCAAAGCATTTTTTATGATAATGATTTTAATCACTGTTAGATATTTCTATTATCTGACGTTAGTCGTTAAGTCATAAGAATTTATTTTATAATTAATGAGTCTATCACATTATAAAAATATATTCTTAGGACACTAATCTGTTTCAAAAAATAGTAATAAATGAATTATATTTAGAAAATAGATATGTTAAGCATATGGTTATCGTATTTATAGAGTGTATTCTTTAATGTGATTAAGACTGATAAACTAAGTTTTGAACCATTAATTAATAATTAAATTGATAGTTTTAACTTAACACGATATTTATTTGTCTTAAGAGTGTGTTTATTTTGGCGGGTCGCTATTTATTATTATTATTATGAGTTTATTCACTTACCGGAAAACAAAGACGCTATGGCTGCTATTATAAATGATAAAATAACTGCTGGACCAGCAAATCTTCTAGCTACTAATCCAGTTACGACGTACATACCGGTTCCAAGACAAGATCCAACACCTAATGACGTTAAATCCACAGTGTTCAAACATTTCTGAAAAAGAAAAACACAATATTACAACTATTTTGTAGACCCAGCTTGAGTTATTTATTATATTTGACAAAGTACCCCAAATAATTAGTACCAGTGTTGTCGATGTCAAATTTTATATGTATAATACGTATATAATACAAAATATTTACTGAGACACCACCACCTCCAAATTTTGTATGGCTTTTTTTGTTCATTGCTTATTATTAAGATATCTTTTTGTGAAATTACAAAAATGTTCGAACTAAATTACATTTTTTTTTAAATTTTGTTACATAAAAACGTTTGATGGCTAAAAGAAATAATATCCACTACAGAAAAAATCCAATTGACCTCAGTTAAGTGTACTCTAAATATCGAAGAAAGTTTCTGAATAATTAAAATTATGCACAAAAGCATTTACCAGAAGTTAACTTTATAAAATATCACACAAAAATTGTGTTAAATTTAACTGGAGTAACAAAACTAAGATGTGAAAAATGTTAAATGGCGTATAAAGAGTACAAATTCAATTTTTCAATCAATTTTAAATTTATAATGATATCAGGTTTGTCTGAGAGACTTAAAAGTGCCTAGATAGTTCAAGTGAATAATATTTTACTTAAAAATTGTATTAAGTCAGGGTAGGGTTTTAATTGAGTATAATTGGACAAGTTCTTTAATGAGCACTTTCAATTTTATTGTACAAATTATGAATTATGTATGTGAAATAATTAAATTAAATTAAAATATACATGTTTGTATGAGAATTTTGAATATAAATTAAGTACAAAAAAGTATTCATTGAATATTTATAAATTAGATTGACTTCAATTTCGATATTTTTATCGAAATTGAATGAAAATATCTTATATAAAATATACATAACGTAATTATTTTAACGCTAGTCACTGGATTTTTTTAATTTATCCTAAAATTAAATTCCAAAATCCTAAATTTAACTAAAAAAAAAATTCCAAAATTATTTATATTTTGTATGTAATTGAACGAGTTATGATAAATGAATCACCATGCATATATGATAACGTTAATTTCAGCTCATATTTAAAGACTTCATTTAGTATTTAATTTAAAAATTCTGAATTTCATCTCAAAACGATAAGGTTGTAACGCAAGATTTGAATTTCCTTGGAGAACATCCGTCAGCTAATAGAGATTTTTTTGTAATCCGTCATTAAAGTCCTTTGACATTTTCATTGTATTTGGTTAATAAAAAAAAAACCAGTACAATGGGACCGTGGCATAGTTGGGTCCAGTATAGATTTAATCTGATAGTGATTAAATTCAATATCATAAAAAACACTTCGATGCAAATCTGTAGATAGTGTTTAATTTTAAAAAATTGGTGGATTATTCCAAAAGCAACATGATCTCCTATTTCCATATTTATATCCTGATTACAAGTTTTATGATTTATAAGGGTAATATATGAATAAATATTTAATATAGAATATAAATATAATATGAAATTTATATTTAATAGTTTAGTATTGTAATTTATTACAAAAATCTTATTTTTTTTATTAAATTTGATGTCCGTTTTCACCATAACAACAAAATAAAGTTCATATTTTTTTTTTCATATTAAAGTATATTACATAAGTTTTAATTTAATTTATATATAAAATTTTCAGTATTTTTGGAACATTTTCGAAAATTAAGTTGAAAAAGTTCTACTTTCTATATGCATTTTTAAGTTTTGAACAGTCCCTCATATAAAGGGATATGGTCTGATTAAGAAAAAAAATATGTCAATTGAAAGAAGTATATAAATAGTTTTCTCATAAAAAATTGTATATACATTTTTCAAAAAGTTATAGAAATATAAAGTTAAAAATAATAAAATTCATAATTTTACACACAAAAATAAGATACGGTAGCCAATTTCAATGTGAAGACAAAATAAAGTCCGAAATTTATTTCCATAATAAAGTATATAAAAAGTACAAAATTATAAGTAGGTACTTCATGTATCTATAAAAAAAAATTATAGTGATTTGGTCCTTTTTAAAAAAGTTATGGCAGTTTTAAGAAAAAAAATACTGTGGTGTTATAATCCAATTTATTCTTTTATTGGACTATTCAAACACAGATTCTACACTGTCTTAAAAACGAAAATAAATTGTCCTATTGCCAATTTTACACTGCTGTGGTTCTAAATGCATTCCGTCATTTATATTTTTAATGAACCCTGTCTGTACAACAATTGTAACTTGGGTAATATGTGTATATTTTTGTATATAATTTGTAAAAATTTATTTTGCTAATCAATCAGTTAAAAGTCTTAAGGCGTATGGTAACTATTTAAGGGGTTGGAAAAAAATATCGCATCTAAACAATTACAACAAAGAGTGAATTGCACTAATAGATTTGACAAATAACATTTTTTATTAATAAATTCCAAATAAAAATATTTTTATTGATTTTTATAGTGGAAACAATCTACTGAGGTTTTTTGGGTTTGGCTTTTCTTTACACTCCACTTATAATTACTATTTACATTGAATGTTAAAACAATTTTAAGATAATTTTGCTATTAGTGTCGCCTCTTTTTTACTTAATAGAATGAACAATTATTAATTTTTGTCCACAATATTTTTCCATTATTTTAGTTGTCTCTTGTTGAGTTTGAAAAAGTTCTATGAAGTGTCGGATATTTTAATCACATCCCCACCACAAAAAGTTTCAAATTGACTGGATCTAAAAAGTTCCAAATCTCTTTAACTAGATTTAACAAAAAATTAAAAACCCTAGTTGTAATGGTACATTTAGATAAGGTAACCTAAGTATTGTATATATAAATATATATATATATATATATATAACATATGCACAATATCGAATGGAACTTTTCAGTTCGTTTTGTGGCGACAGCGCTTGTGAGGTTCTGTCATGGAACAGAGGAGTGTTAAGGAGAAATAACAGGTTATTGGTTATGTTTTAATAAACAACACATTCTTTCTTCTCTCTAATATTAATTAAAGAAACTATTAGAATTTCATGATTCATAAATGGATAGATTATTGAACTATATTAGAAAACTGCGAAAAAATGTGCACGGAAGTCAAATATATTCGCGCCCGAACACAATGAACACGGCACAACTGAAACAAATGGAATTAAGGTCAGAACTTAAAAATTTACTATTAATACTATTCATATACTACACAGCACATTACAATTAATTAGATTATTTTTATGTGAATATTTGTATACATTTTTCTTATTTTCAATTTGAGAATACTATAATTTATTTCTTCTGTTAGCAAATTGTAAGAAAACCAATTTTTATACATGTAAAATAAAATATCTTTTCAAGTTATTTAAATCATTTTTTTCTTTGATGGTAAAAACTATAAGAAATAATTTTGGCTGAATTACAACTAATAAAAAAAGAAATTTAATGATATTTTTATTATTTATCTATTTTATTATTTAGAATTTTATTTATCTTTGACACCTAATCAAAAAATACAATTTTAGTATTATTTATCGTGATACTGAACACACTTTTAGCTTTGTTTGATGATGTGGATCAAATCTGCCTGGAGGAGTTATTTCTTCTTGAAGATCATCTAAATCTTTCGTTCTAACCATACGTGAAATAAGTGCCAATCCATCTCTTCTAAAATCTGTCGGTAGTTTTGGGATCGTCATTTTGATACTAAATCACAGTTGAATTTTAATTAAATAACCTGTAAAATAAAATATAGTTAATATATAGATAAACTACAAAAAATTACGGTAAGAATGTATTTTGACTTTAATCATAATGAAAAGTATATTTATTTAGCTTGTAGACCTCAAAAAAATTGTTAAATACATATGATCAATGATGGCTCCAAAAATATTTGTTTAAATCAATTAAATATTTAAATTTTATCTATGTTTATATATCTTTATTATAAAAAGTATACTTCTACTTATTAGTAACAAGTAGTTTTAAACTAACAGTTAAATGTTAAAATATTTGATTGACATAAACAATTACCAAAAAATGTAATCTACCAATATTATAAAATGATTAATTGATCTAAGCTCTACGATTAACCTAATGAAATACCATTTAGTAATTAAAAGTTTTAATAATGCATATATAGTCTATTGTAAAAGATTTTAAAGAATGTTATCATTTATATTCCTCACGTATTTTAATAGTCAAAACATATCGTTTAATAAATAAATATAATAAATACGATCTAGCAAGTTAATATACCAGGTTTATTTTTCAACTGTCTAGTTTTAAAACAAATTTATAAAAAGTTGGGTTGGGTTTAAGAGTTGTATATACATTTAATTACGCTATTCAATCATAATTATTTTATGAATATTTAAAATCGTATTTTACGGTTATAGAATTATGCACAATTAATTAAATATTCTTTTATACATAGTAAATTTATTGAAATGATAGGTATTTCAATTTTATAAAGTCATTACAATAATAGTCAAATATATCATAACTATTCACAACTCGATAACATATTTGTCTTATTTAATCTATTCTTTTGCAAAAACATTTAATAAAATAATGAATGCATAGTTCTGACGTCATGGAATTCATTGATCCATTTCAGCACACTGAGTGTAACTCACAAAAACTAAGAAAATACGTTTTATTATATTACTTTTATTATCATCGGGTAAAGAATATTTCAATAAATAGTACATAAAAAATTTTGCTGTTTAAAGTTATTACTTTAATTTATTAATTAATACTGTTAAAAATCTTATTGTATAATTTCGATATTTAAATAAAAGTATTCAAACTTTGTAGGTAAAAGGGCACTGCTTAAAATAATGTTTCTTAAACTTTTATCATATATTTATTAGGATTTATGATACAATTCTACCTCTTAGTATTTATTGGAAATTTTCAGTAATAGTTAACTTGAAACAAGTCTTCTCTATTTAAAAATATAAATCACATAAGCATGTAAATAAATGTTTACTACATGAATAAATTTAGAATCCAAACAGCATATAAATTAAACCAATCATTTTTTGGCCACGCAATCTTTTATGTCTGTAATTTATATATTTTTTGTGGCTAGAAAAAATTTTAAGAATTAAAATAAAATCTGGTTCACTATAAAAATTTTTTTAAAAAGTATAATATTGATATATTTTTTTTAATAATAAATCAATCAATTCTAAAAAAACTTTAAAAATAGGTCATGACTTATAAATGAACTATTTTTTTACAATTCAAATATGAAGTCTATCAAATTATTTGTTTAGAATATATATACTTAAATTTAATGTGCTTAGACTGACAAAAGCGTAAAACCTAAAATATCTTGAAACATGAATTTTCTAGACTGTTAATGTTTAATTCATACATAAAAGTTAAAAGAAAAGGTTTTTAAAATGTTTTGCATAGCAACGCCCAAGTAATTAAATAATTTAAAATGCGAATTGTTTGTTTTTGCCACTTTATGTGAATGATGATTAAAAATATTGTTTTAGTCATTAACTCTGAAGTAATTATAATTACATAATAATTATTAAAAAACAAATAGTACTACAATTTAAATTAAAAACAAAAAGTCTCAAACATATTAACATATTTTTTTTAATAACTTAAATTTTATTATTAAATGTAAATTAAAGTAATCAACAAAAACTTGACTGGTAACCAAAAAAAAAAAAAAATGCCTTTAACTTTTCTTCTTTTTCAACATCCACTTTAGTTAATTTATGTCATTTCCCAGGCAAACGTTGATTTTGATGCCATGCATACTTTATCCATATTTATAATCCCTCACGGGACCTTATCGGAGGTATTATACAGCTTGCGCGAATTCAAGAGCTCATAGATTGAGGTTTTTATTATATATTCTTTTATTATGCTATCGAAATTCAATGTATAGTAAACATCTCTTATGGTTTAGTATAATTATTGATATATCAATTTCAAATCATAGTAAAAAAACATAAAATAATAAGATACTACTCGACACAAGTGTTTAATGTATTTATACATTAAATGCATTCTCTTATTAATAGTCAAGTGTATAAAATTCAAGTATTTAATTATTTTGATAGTCTTTTAAATCGTTAAATATATATATATATATCAGCACGTCTATTTAAATGATGTTTAAATTAATGTTTCAATATATTTTTCTTAATATGATTTCTTTTAAATTTATTTGAGATCTAGAATCTTGAAGTTTTTATAATTAAATAAGCTAACTTATTTAATGTATCGAGATAAAATAAATTAAGTAAATTTACTAAAGCATTGGTAAAACTACATCTTCTAGGTCAACAGACAAAATATTTTTAAATCCTTTTTATAATGTAAAATAAAATTAACACATAATTTTTTCTTTAAAAATAACTAGCTAAGTGAGGACGTGGCATAAAATTATAGACAAATATAGATGATATCTGACAGTGATTAAAATCGTAAAAAAGATTCAATGCAAATTTGTAGTATTTAAATTTTGGATGGAATTATGATTGTTTTATGGGTAAATAAGAGTGTACATCGAGTAACTATTAAAAGAATCACCCTAAGTTTCGTTATCTTAATTTATCTTATCCCATTGATAGCTAGAACATATTATTTTTGAATGGATAGTTCCTTCCTTTTAATATACTTATTGGATTATACATTAAAATCTGCAAAATATTAAACACTAACATTTAATTAATGTCCACCTCGATAATAACTAAAACTAAAACTAAAAAACATTTAATTAATTTTTGTAAAAGGCGGTTTAATAATGTAAGTACTCCCACCCTTCCTTAAGACTATACCATTTGACCTACAATATAGACAAATTAATAGAAAAAACGGTAGCATAGTGGGGTCGTAGTACTTTGGGGACAAGTATAGATGGTATATGACAGTGATAAAAATCGCTTGTATAAGAAACGCTTCGATGCAAATCTGTAGATAGTGTTTAATTTGAAAAAAAATTGGTGTATTATTCCAAAAGCTACATCAATTCATAATTCCATAATTATATTCTGGTTAGTGGTTCTTTGATTAATAAGTTTAATATATGAATAATTACACAGTAATGTGTAGTAATTAATTTTATCATTGAATTGGTATTCAATAATGTAATATCGTAATTTATATGGATAATTTATGAAAAATTTTAATGTAGTTGTATATTTCGTTAAAACTATGGCAATGTCAATAAAAATTGAAGTGCTTTTTAGAAAATAATTAAAATTTATTTATTCTAATAGGATCAATAAGAAATATTAATGTGTGACAAATATACTTTTTCTAATATCAAATCTGCAATTAGATTTTTTCTATCATATTTAATTTTTGACATTATTACTACTTAGTAGAAACACGAATATTTACTAATCAAAAAACGGTAGCACAGTGTGAGCGTGGCATAGTTGGGACTAGTATAGATGATATCTGACAGTGTTTAAAATAACATAAGAAACGCTTCGATGCAAATCTGTTGATAGTGTTTAGTTTTAAGAAATTGGTAGATTTTTTAAAAGCAAAATTCTAACTCAAAAAGAATTAACGAAAAATTGCAAAAAATCATTGCCACAGGAAATGATTTTTACTGAATCGGCAAACGTACGTCGCATTCATTTTTTAATAAAATTAACAATTTAAGCTAATTCAAATGTTAAAATTACTTTTTTCGACTTAAAAGAAAAAAAAATTGAAATAAGTTTAACTTTATGTTCTATGTCAATTAGTATTATATGATATTCGTGAAAATCAATGTATATATCATGTTATATTAAAATAAATTAAAATACAAAACCCAAAATTTTAACACAAAAATAAAATATTTATTGATAACCATGTTCACTATATCTCGAATTATTTTTTTTCATAGTATAGTATATACTATATACAGTTTCAATATTTCCAGAAAATTTTCAAAAATTGAATTGAAAAACTTTAACTAATAAAATCTGAAATCGTAAATTTTAACACCAAAATTGCATGTTTTTTTAACTACGGCAACCATTTGCACATAGAAAATAAGTCGTCGGGACAAAATTTTTTTTTTGAACTTATAGTGTATAAATAGTGTGTATATCATTTTTATTTTAACATATGTTTGAAGCTCGGAATAATTCCGGAACATTTTCAAAACTCAAGTTAAAAAAGTTAAATTGTTGTGCAGAAGTTGTTATTTTGAATCCCCCCTGTGGATTATGATGAATAAAGATGACCCCTGATGAAATAAAGGGTCAGTTTTTCAACAAATTTATATCAAATGAAAGAAAAATATCTAAGGTTTCATTTTAAAAAAGAATTATTTTGATTTGTTCATTGTTCAATAAGTTATGGCAATTTTTAGAGAAAAAAAATGTCGAAATTTACCGATTTTAAAAATCGTAATTTTTTGGGGAATTTTCACTATATACAGGGAACGAGGGCAACATTTTTAATATTTGAAGGTATTGTCTTCAATTAAATATGATTTGTGATCTTTTGATGTATCGTCGAGAAAAATCGATCTAATGAGAGCTTAGAAAAGGTAGTGACACACATAAAAATAAAAAATAAACAAATCATGGTAAAATTAATATCTTCTCAGCTTCGCATCGAAGCTAAAAAAATAAAGTTAAAATGGAGTTTAACAATACATCAGTGAACAAAAGCATAGGAAAACTATAGGAGAACTATTTCGGAATATTATTATATTATAGATTATAACTATAAGAGATAATTATACGGATTATAGTTCTA